CTTTTTTATATAATTAATAGGATTATTTCGTTCCATAAAAAAAAATTAAATAATATTTTTTTTATCAAATTAAAGTTTTTCTAAAGTTATTTCTACTGTTCGATTTGATTGTCGGTTTAACTTAATAACCGGATTAAAACAAATTAAATGTTTAGTTTTAGATGCCTATTAGATTAGGCTTCATGCTCTTACCGTTCTTCATCAATTTTTTTTTATTGTATTTCTGTTCCAAATTCACTTTCATATCCGATGTGGGACTTTGAAAAATATGTTTTTATATGTATAATTAAATATAAATACAAAATTGATCTGATAATTACTGAAATTGCCACTGCATAAGTCCAAAATTATCCTTTTCAATTGAACCTCTTTAGTTAAAAAGCAATGGTAATTTCAGTAATATTTGAATCAATTTTAAACATTTTGCTAAATGTACTTCTCTTTTAATATTGTAATGCCCGTGAACCAAAAATGTGTTTTTGGTGGTGCGTCGAGCGACGCAAACCTTTAATCAGACCGGGAAGTCGGTTTGATCGCACGGTTTGCGTGTTGGTTAAGAGAGAACCCTAGGGTTGCTATATAAACAGATGGGGAAGCCGCCTGTGGTCTGTTTCGCCATTTTTTTGGATCAGAATCAGAGAGAAAAGGCTGGGAGAGAGAGAGATTTGTTCTTGAGAGGTTCATGGGTATGAACAGCTTCTGATCGGATCTTTGAGAGGGCAAACAGCGGGGCTATTCACGGCGGATTGGAGTGATTTTTGGAGAGTAAGTTTTCCAACCTCTGCTCGTGTTATAGGCGAAAATGGTTCGTCTTTTGGTTGATTATTCACCGAGTTATGGCTGTTTGAACTCGGTGGGTTTGTGCAGATTGTTGTCTGCGATCAGTCGGGTTCAGAGGGGAATTCCGATCGAACCAGAAGGAGTCTAGAGACGATCCGCATACCGACGCATAGCTGGGAGTGTCTAGTTTCCAGAACAGTCGTCTGTTTCGGAATTGGACCAGTGGTTCGTCGTGTGCGAGGGTTTTAGTAAACGTCGTTCATTCTTTCATTTCGATTCTTCGAGGTGAATGCGTGATCGTGAGTTGTGTGGACATAGGGATAGATGGAATGCGTTTGATTGTTGTTTTCGTGTGTTCTGTGATTNGGATCGTGCAGGTGACTCGATAAATCGCGACGGATTCGAGCCACGAGAGGATAGGCTCGTTTCTGTGGATGTCGCGTCGATCGACGCCAGGGTGGTGCGTCGCTCGACGCAGACGATGCGCGTCGACCGACGCCAGGGTGGTGCGTCGCTCGACGCAGACGATGCGCGTCGACCGACGCCTAGAGGTTGCGTCGCTCGATGCAGATGCTGTGTGTCGACCGACGCCTAGAGGTTGCATCGCTCGATGCAGAGATCCTGTATGGATTTGTGATTAGTTGTTCTTATTGCTTGCTTGTGTGCTCATCCTGGTATTTGTCTTTCGTTATGTCTANACTTAA